TCTTTGGTGTTGTTTATTTCTTTCAGAGTCAAACACTTTTGAAAATTCTTGTGTAAATCTTTTCCAATCTGTTTTTATGTCTATTGGTAAAACTGGAAACCATTTCTGAGCTGCGCCATCAATGGTTCTTTGGATTAACTCTGTGCGTCTATGTATCCAATTTTAATGGAGTGGTGTATTAATTGGTTCAGGTCCGATATTTAAAACTAAATTTGCTGTGACTGCGTTTAGATAGTCTTCTACAGAATTTTCAGGGTCTGTGCCTGTGAATACCATTAGTGGTTTATTTGATGTTTTTGATGATCCACCCATGAGGTATGGATTCATAGTCATTTGTAGTGATTGTTCGGCATTTGGCATTTGTGAAAAATTTGTCAGTTGATTTTTTGTTATTTCATGTTGTTGCAAATAATATGGTAGTGGTATTCATTTTGCATTTGCGTTGAATGATAATAATCTGTATTTGCTGGGTTTTGTGAGTAAAAAGTATTAATTTGAGGTGCGTGATTGGATCTAGGTTGTCGCGTATGTTGTTCTCGTGTATATGGTTCAAAAATATCTGGTTGATTTACGTTATAAGAGTGGAGTCTTTGGTTTCGAAAACTTTTTTGATGGTTTTGGTCTTGAAAATTGTCATCATCTGATGAAAGATAATTAGGTGTATAGTAAGGTGTTTTTTGTTTGTTTTGGTATGGCTGCTAAATATTTTTATTCTGTTGAAAAAATGGATAGTTTTCACTTGGGTCTGTTGGATTTCGTGGGTTATCATTAAAGTTTACGAATTTTGATGTTTGTTGTTGGAAATTTTGTCGTTATGAAATTGAACGATTATGCGGGTTTGTACGAGGAGGTTTAGATGTTTGTGATCTATTTACGTAGTTATAATTGTGTTCTGAAAAATTACTTGCGGTGAATATTCTTTGTTTTTGTGGTGGTTTCGTCATTGGTCTAAATGTTTGGTAATCCATATATGAATATTTGGGAGCAACCGAGGGTTTAACCGTAGATTGCAATGTTGTTTGAGGTAATATTGAGGTCTTTGGTTTTGGCGTTGTATGGTTTGGATGTATTGGTGAAATACTTTGCTGTGTAGTTGTTACAATTGTTTCAACTATTTCTTCATTTATAAAAAGTGATGATGTTTGAAAATCTTGTTGTGTAAGATTTCTAGTTCCATTTAAGTTTTCTTGTTGTACAAGGGTGGAAATTAAACTATTATTTTGTCTTCTATCAGGTAAAAATGAATTATAGTTTAAAGGTGTTGCATCTATTGTAAGAGGAAAAATCTTTACATAGTCTTTGTGAATAGAGATTGTACTGATTGCTTGACTTGAGATGTCTATTGGTATATACAGAAATTATGGATGAGACCATTCAGGGTCCCAAATACAGTCTGATTGTTTTGCAATGACAGTGTCGTCATTGGTACTTGAGGTCTGATAATTTTTCTTGCTTGTGCAATTAAATCAATTTTATGTGCAAAATAATCAATTATGAACCATGCTAAGATTTTTTGTAAATCATGTTTGGCATTTGGTGAAATTTCGTTGTTTGAAAAATTTTCACGAATTGTGTTTAAAAAATGCTGAGAATGCGGCAATTTCATTTCTGACATTTGTGTGTCTTGATGTTTGAACCGGTGATGTGCTTTCAGTTCATATACTTTCTAGTATAGATACATAACTATATAATAGTGAAAACACATCGTTGGTGAATATCGAGTTTGCTCTTTGTGAATTTTGGTGTTGTATATTTTTAATGTATTCTGTGAATACTTTTGAAATTCTATGTCGACATCGTCTGTTTGAATAACATGTTTGCTTTGATATCTACCTTCTGTGCTGAATTCTATGGTGTAGATTCCATATGGCTGTGTTAGGTTACATATTCCTTTTAAATAAACATCGATAATTTGTCTTTTGATTTTTACTTCTGGGAATTCTGCTTTACATGGGCTAATTCCTTGTTCAAATACATTTGCAATTAAATTAGTACAAAATTGTCTTTGTCCTCTATCTTCAGCGAGTGAGTTTATAATAAAAGGGGAAACAGAATTTTCGTCGGGACTTTCATCACTTTTCGTTTTATAACTGTCAGTGCGTAATGTTCAATGTGTCTGATTGGTTGATTCCAATTGTATAGACGTACTGGTTTATTTTTGTATATCTTTTTTATTCTTCTTTTTTCTTGTTTCGATGAATGTGATGTGGCTTCTGAACCGGAAAAAAACAATTGGTCGTGAACTGGGTAGTTTTTATTTACCGTTTCTTTTAGTTTGTAAAGTGCATCTAAATTGCTGACTTTTGATTCAGAGACTGCGTTTCTACGCTTTGAAAATCTTTTTCGTGTAATTTGTCTTTGCTTACTTAAAATTTTTCCTTTTAATGTTTGACGTTTTGTGCGAATATATCCGAGTGTTTGTTTTTGCGGTGTAATTACAGGATCGTATGTTTCGTTTTTTATTTCGCAATTGTGTAGTACGATTGTTTGTTTGTTTCCTAAATTGTTCAGTGACATAAGGTTTAGGATGAAGAATGCAAGGTTGTAATTAGTGAATTTGAAATCCTAGACTGTTAGTCCTTACAATTTTTTGGTTAGCCTAACTTGGGTCTTTTATGTAGGGTTGGAGAGAAAATTATATATCGATTCCGAAGAATGATTGTTACTTTCTCGTGGCTATTCTAAGTTAAGGTGTTAACTTACTTAATCTTACTTAGGGGTAGTGATTGTGTTCAAGGGTTGGAGAATAGTAAATTGATCCACAAGGTTCAGGTATAATTAGAACACAGGTAGTTCGTTCGATACTTTTTTAATACTTACTAAGACTTAAGATTTAGCCTGGGTCAGGTAAGAGAGGGGATTAAGTGAAGGATGAATAAGGGAAGTTCTTCACTGTTTAGCTTAATTTGAATGGTAAGTGTGATTGAAAAGTTTCTATTAGTCCTGGGTCTTTGAAATGGTTGGGTAGTGAATCGACGTTTGAGGTCGTTAGACACTTTATTATTGGGTGGGGGAGAACAAAATTGTTCTGTTTGATCCAAGGATAGGCCTTGATGATCAGGATATAATTTTTTATGTTATAAAATGGATTTCACTTAATTATTTAATGGAGATCCAAGGAAAGCCTTGATGATCTAGTTTAAGATTGAACAAGTTGAAATGAAAGAAAGTTAAGCATTTGGATAAGCCTTTAAAGATAATTTTAATTTATCTGAATAAAAAATTTAGTGTTAGATGATATTAGTGGTTTAAATGATTGCTGTTATGTTTAGGCGATGAAGCTGGGGATGCCAGGATGATTTATATATACTAACAATTAATGACCATGTCAACTTGTTTTTATTTTTTCTTTCAATAAATATATTTTTCAGATATCTTTGTAAATTTTACTGCAGATTTAGAGGAAACAGTTTGAGGTGTTTTTTTAAATCGTTATTGTACAAAAGTAAATAGAATTTAGCGCCTGTAATAATCATTGAAGATTTTTCTTCAAGGTTTCTATGTTTGCAAACGAAAATTTAAATTCTTTGCTAGTAAAATTCGAAATATAAAAAATTTGGTCTGGCTTTTGCCGTACGACCATGAAACTTAATGGTAAGTTTCTTCGTAGTCGTAGATCGTTTCTTGTCCGAGGCCTTCTTCCAATGCCTGGTAGTTTTAGTATTGTACGGAATAGCGGTTGTGGTCTATTGAGTCGTGTAAACATTTCAATTAGATTATTATCATGTAACATTTTTGATAATGTTTTTGTCTAATTCTAATCTATCTGTTAGTTCTAAGCTAATTTGTGTTTTAAGGTCTTGATCGAGACTTATGGTCACACCAGATGAGTTATGTTCGAGGTGTAACTCATAGAGTAATTTCGGATAGGGTACACCGTCTGCTCGTCACGCTATCTTATTTTCGGCCGGATAGATTGTGCAACTTCTTAGTCTAATACCGATCCTACTCTTACTCTTATATCTACTAGTCTCAGGGTCTTTAACTAGTCTCTGCTAGGCTCAATAGATCTAGAGTATACTGGCTTATTGCGATTGCTAAAGTTCTCTTGGAGAGGTAACTAATTTCTAAGTTAAATTCAAATCTCTCTGGTGCTGAAATTACAAGTAAATTCATCACTTACAAACAAGTGGGTTGTTAATTAGATGGATCGTGATTGGTTAATATTAAATATTTTATAGAGATAAAATATCCAATTTATAACCAATAATAAATATAGTTTATATCTGGTTCCAATGGGGCGTTGAAGCTTGCAAAATGTGAATTAGGACTCAAAAATTTATCGCTAACATTATAAAATCCTAAAAATGTGGCATCAAATTTAGCGAGAAGTTTTCTTCAAATGTGGTATCAAGTTTATCGCGAAAATTTTATAAGTAAAAAGTAGAATTACTCAGCGCCATTTTTGAACTACTCGGAATAAAAATTACTTTTCAAGCGACTTTTTTCTAAATCTGGAGCGGAGATTGAAATAAATTTTTGAGGGAATTTTCGAGATGATCGGTCGAGAGCCACCCCTCAAACTTCTTGCAAAATCTTCAAAGATACATCATTCGCAAAAACGTGTCCGCCGTAGGCTAAAAACCTATATGAAAAATCAAAAAAGACTTTTTTAAATACTCTCAAGTGGAAAGACCGTTTGGGTAGTGGGAGTATGACATTCTGAAGCAAGGATCCCTGAAACCGCTACTGATCTGACGGAAAATTAAAGATTCCTTTATCTCAAAATTTTGTTTCGAAATTTCACATCAGACATTCAATGCGTATCTTTTACAATGTTTTACAATTGCAATGTTTTTCTTGTCTTCGAAATAAGGAGTATATATGTTAACGGAAGGACATTAAAGGATGTTTGATGGAAAATATTTCAAATCGTCAATCAAACATTAAAACGTCTGAATAAAGTAGAAATTGAACCCCACTAACATATAAACCCAAGCTTAATGCAAACTAACCACCAAACTAAACTCATCAAATAATATCAGCAGCGAACTGAATACCAAAGTTGTTCATATTTTTCTCAAGATGAAATCCATCATCGCTTTTATTACTTGTATTTGTTACTCGCTACAATATATATTTGGAATTGATGACATAGTTGTAAATTCGCCAGTTCCAAATATGAACTGGACGTCGCAGACATTTTTGATACCAACCAGGCCTTCGTTTTGGCCTCCAAGTCTCGAGGGAGATGACCGGACGAACTATCTGATTCAGAACCGGTGGCTGCAGCGAAGCGAAAGCAGACACGTATCAGAACAACCCGCTCGGAACTACTGTTTGCGCGGATACGAAGTTGAAAGGGAGGTAGATTTTATTGCGTATGAACACGAACACAGGTAAACAAGTTTTAAAAAAGAGGTAGCAAAAAAGGAAAATTTAAAGTATAATCGTTATCGTTACTAGTTTTTAAGTAAACCAGTAGAGAATTTAGTGGTGAAGGATCGGACCCCCCCCCCCACACACACACACACACACACACACACACACACACACTAAACCAACACCCCCCTTACCTCCCTAAGGGATTCGATCCGAATTTAATCGGTAGTTATTCACTCATGTTTAAGATTTAACCTATGGGGCTATGAGTTGAGCTTGACGGAGCTACAGATGGAAATGTCTCTGCGAAGGAATATCGAAATGGGGTGTGAACAAATGTTTGAACCAATCCACAGACGACATAATTTTTTCTATGGGCGTGAGGGATGCTGCGGGGGACAGTGTGACAAGTTTCAGGACCACGGATTTGCCCGCATGCTGATGTCGCTTCCCGATTATATCTCAAAACTAACGGACTATTCTAGTGATGGTGAGTTTAATATAACTCAGCGATGTACTGTTCGGTTTCATAATGACAAACTTCGTTACGTCCCGTTGCCCCACGCCAAACATGATTAAAGCTTCAAAGGACACAAATTATTCATTTTTTTTTGTGGTTCCAGTGAACCACAGAGGAGCGATCAGTAGGCCTTAACAGTCCTATGTAAAAATAGTCCACTTTGTAAGATTTCCGGCATTTAACTAGATAAATCGAGCAAAAGTTAAAAAGCACTTTAAACGCGTTATTGTTCTGACTTTGGAAGAGAGTGGCGGAATATTTGTCCTCGGTGTGGTTTTTTTCTTCAGACAAATTTTGGCGTTTTAACTAGCCATTTTTGACAGAAGATTTTCTATCATCTGAAAAGTATTGTTGCCTTGAGCTCCAATTAATTTAGATATATGACCTGCGGTCATTTTTCGTAAGGTTATGGGGTTTTAAAGATATTTTTTAGGACAATTAACGCGCGATATATTTCGCACTTTTAACACGTAAGCGAAAATTTAATCCGTTTTTAAAATCGTTCCAAATTAGTTGAAGCGCGTTATTTGCCATAATTACTTTTGATAGGTGCGAAATCTGTCACTTCCTACTTCATACAATTTGATTTTTAAAAAATCTCAAACTGTTTATTTTTTTTTCTCGAAAAACCTATCAGTTGTTACAAAGCGAAGCTTATTTCATAGAAATTACAAGACAGTCGGAACTCCAAATTCATTGCTACGATATATAGACTGCTTTAGCGCTATAAACACTTTTTGTGCTAAGAATCAAAACTACACTCAGATTTCGATAATGATCATGAAACGAGAAAATCCGACAAAAAAAATAAAAAATAACGGCTCTAAAAGTCAAAAAGGAGAAAAAGAAGGACAACAAGGTGAAAGATAAAAAGGCAAATATGACCATATCACTGAGTTATTCATAGACAGAGAGACAACCAGAAAAAAAGTCACCGCGAAAAAAAAAAATCCAAAGTACAGTGCTGATTTAAATTAAGCGGACAAAACGCGTTAAACTTGAAATTTAAAACGCAGTTTTCTCAAACTGGGTTGAGTTTAGGTGAAAATTTATGAAGACAAACCTTGCTTAAAATTTCAGGAGAATTAATATGATTTAAATTGTTTTGCGAATTTCGGGTCCGAAATTTTACCCCAAAAATGGGTCATTTTGACTTTTCTTAGTTAATCAAAAATTACGCCGAAAACACCCAGTCGTTCACAGACATAAATATATCATAGTGAGCCCCTTACGTAGCCCAACAAACTTTAAGAAGGGTATAATCTCCAAAATATTGTTTAAGTTAATTTATTTTTGTTTGATAAACAAAAAAGGTCATTTTTACTATATAAAATACCAACTTTTTATTTAAAAACAATTTTTAAACAATATGCATGTTTTTTTGGAGAAAACACCCTTTTTAAAGTTTGTTGGGCTACATAAAGGGCTCACTTTGATAGAATTATGTCTGTGATCGACTGTGTATTTTTGGCGTAATTTTTGATAAACTAAGAAAAGCCAAAATGACCCATTTTTGGGGTAAAGTTTCGGACCCGAATTTCGCAAAACAAATATACATCATATTAATTTTGCTAAAATTCTAAGTAAGTTTTGTCTTCATAAGTTTTCACCTAAACTCGACATAATTTGAGAAGAATGCGTTTTAAATTTTAAGTTTAACGCGTTTTGTCCGGTTAATTTAAATCAGCTCTGTATGTAGGAGATCAACGGCTGTTAAATGAAATCTGGATAACGAAAAAAATTGAGAAAGGTTATGACATTGCACGACAACTGATGTAAACCCAAGAAAAGCACAAATCTTATGTAATAAATGAAAAACTAAATGCGCTAGATGCGCTTTGGACGTAATGTTATCTGAAAGCAATGTGATAATTTGCCAAACGCAACTTTTGAAAAAATTCTTTAGAAATAACGTTTCAAACGGCCCAGATCTTTCAAACCTTGTAAAGCCCTTATATATTTTAGGATTGTTGAAAAAAGTCAGAAGAAATCAAATCTACTTCGAGGCTAAAAAGCACCTGTACAATTTTCTCCAAACTCTTGCGTGCACATATTCATTTCGGTCTGAAACCAAATAACTAGAAAAACACCAACCTTCTTTTTTTGAAAATTACGTTTTTTCATTCAAATTTTTCTATGAAACCGCTTGAAATCATTCAAAGTTTCATTTCATAAAAGATGAACCAAGTCTAAGATTTGTTGTTCAATTGCTTATGTTTTATTGCGTCCACAGAAAATTTGGACTAGTTTGAATCGATCTTTGTAAGCGACCTTAAATGTTTCTATTTTTTTTGTTTTGCTCCGGAGGATAAGCTTGCTTAAAACCACTGAAGAGTCATCCTTATAAGTTTTTGTATAAAAAAACAAGAAGTCTTCCAAAGTCTTAATAAACAATATCCTGCTTGACGAAGCAAACTTGTGCGTAATGATTCAAGCTATTAAAAGAGTTTAACCGCCTCAAAATTTTTCAGGCCATGAGAAACTTTGAAGTTTTTTGAGTGGAATCGCGCTAAAAATTATGTTGAAAAATCTGTATATTCATTGTTGAAGAAGTTTCTTAAATCTCTTCAATAATTTTTTACTCGTTATTCATTATATAGCTTTCCATATATTTGGTTGCCGTTTCGGCTGTTGTATTTGTTACTGCCAGAGATTTTTGGGTACTCGGAAAATGTATCCACCGCTACCGAAATATATGCGTTTTTATCCAACTCGTTTGGCTTTGGGCCCGCAAAATCTAATTGTCCACATCTTTGGGTACTCTACCTTATCTTACTCAAAGTGATGGTTTTTTCTTTTATTAGTGTTTAGGTTTTTATCTTGCTCGCTATTACTTTTATGCTCTTTTCAATTATTTTTTTTTCATTGCTACAAAAAATCGTTGGGTCTGGGGAAACTCGATATCATTTGCTATGCCCAACATGGCGTCGGTTTTGGATGAGCTAAGTTGATACTATCCGGCAGTATTTTTTTTTCAGATAAGTGAGTAATGCCACTTTGTCGTCGATGACTTAACAGTCATCCCGCTCACTTTCACCAGCCAGGTTTCACCAGCCAGGTTTGAATATTCCTTGATGGTCCTTTGTGCTCCATGAAATACTTGGTAACAATGATCTGAGTGGTACTTTTTCGCCGTTTAGATATAGCTTGGTAATTCTACCCCATAAATTTTTCAAATTAGTTTGTACTTTTTGGGGATTGTAGGCTTTTGATTGCCGCTGTTTTTTTTTCATTGACGGTCTCGTCCATCTGCATCAACATTGAATTCTGGCTATTCTTTTTTATATATGCAAACTTAGATTTATTCAATGAATTGGCCCTTTTTGATTTTGTTTCTCTTACATAAACATTATCGCCAATAACTTTTCGGTTTTCTTTACTTTCGTCACCTCTAAGATTTAGTCTAAGAAAGCAAAGAACGTATTTTTGCAGTTTGTATATCTGAGTTCAATTGCTTGTGGAACTGGGCTGGTGTTTCCGTCAAGTCATTGAATTTCATTTGCAACTGGTACATCCACCTCGTTTTCACACCATGCAGGCTGAAGTTGCATTGTTCGCTGATAACCATATCCAACAGAAATTGTGCGTATGTGTAGCGTAAACTCAGTGATGAGAAAAAACTACCCTGTTTCTCTCTAACCTAATTGTTAAGGCGACGTGGTCAAATAAAAGCTCAATGTTTCGCATCTTATACTTGTTTTTGTGTACTTATTTGCTAATTTATTATGAATCTAGTGCCAGTTTGGTCGATTGATATTTCATCATTGGACTGATGAAGTTTTTCTCACTACATTTGTCCAGTTTTTTATCATGATCTGGTTTGATGAGCTTAATTACCTTTTGTTGTACAATTTTTTGTAGAAAATTGGGCACGCTGCGCCCGTTTTGTTGCATGGCTTTGTAATTTACTTTAACAATTCTGCTAATAACACTTGGTTTTCGAATCTACTGAATGGTGTAAATAATACCGAATAATTTCTTCTAAGCAAGCTTGCAGTTGTCGAATCCGACTCGTTGATTGCACTGATTTTCAGAACTATTACATTTTCCTGTTGTAGCTTTATACCTTTTTTGTATTTAAATTTCGCCCTACTATCCCGGGTTGACCAAAACTTCTAATCATACAATTTCCATTTATGAAAAACTTCTTGTCATACAATTCCATACAATGCCATACGTACAGAACATTGTATGAAATCTCTATGATAAAGATTTTTCCATAAATGAATATTGTATGATAGGTGTTTTTCCATAAACCAAAAATTTTGATTTTTTCTTTCAAACTTTAGTTTCTGAAAAGTTTTTGGTTGTGTTCGCAACCGAACACAAGTGAAAAAAACCGTGGTTACTCAAAACACCAAAGGTTGGACGGTCTTGCATATACAATGCATAGCAAACTACCTGAATTTAGATGTTTTTCACAATTGATATAACAAAAGTAACGAACTTTTATTTTTTGGCAAAATTTTTTAATGATGATTATTTTAAATTTTTGAATTTTCAATTTATCAGACATTGATCAAAGCTTACATTAACACCCCATACAAAAGAAATAGGAATTTTCAGCGTTTTTGAAAAAAAAATTTAAGTGAAAAGAAAATAAAAGCCAATTTTATCGTATCCAGGACTACGTTATGCACACAAAATATTAAATTTTGCATGCAAAAAAAAAATTTCGAAAAATGTTTGTTTGCGTACGAAATTCGATTTGCGGTTGAAAAAAAAAACAAAAAAATTTTTTGGGCCAAATTTTCAAAATAACTTGGGAATATATGGGAATTGTATGAAAAGCATTTTTTTCAAAAAAATGAGAACCTCAGTTTTTATCACCAGACTGTTTTGTAAGAATCAAACATCCACAGAAATAAGTTTATACCAGTTTTCAACCATTTTTAGAAATTGTATGACAATTGTATGACAAGCATTTTTCCATACACTTGATGTATGGAATTGTATGATAACGATTTTTGGTGTATGGAGGTCAACCCGGGATACTGACTCTGTGCCCATCCACTATAAAGAATAGTGCTGAATGAACAGTCCCATCCCCCTGATACGAATGGTATGAAATTCTGCCTCATGGCTCGACATATACTCCGTTGCTACGAGTCAAGTTGATTGCCACTTCTTTTTTGGATTTTGCTTCCAGATGTCGTATTTGCAGTAGCTTCTTGTGCTGACAAATACTCTTTTAGTTAAGGTTTCGGGCTGCCAGAATCGTCTATCGCAATGACTGATTCCCTGTCGTTTTTTTAAATGATGATTTACATCTTCTTCTTTATCATCCACTGACTTTTTGGTATCAAAATTTTCTTGAATTGTCCTTACTGAGATTTTTATTCCTGGTTTGTTTTCCATCTATTTACAGACATGAAATTAGCGAATACCACCGGGTGTACGCTGTCTTCTTGCTGTTCCATTTGTAGTTTTTTCATTCTATCACCTTGCTCGTTAAGGTAGTTGATGTCCCATCTACGGCAGACGCTTTAAAAACTTTCCCTTTATCCGTATTTAGAACAGATTATGTACTTCGTTTTTAATTAACCTTGAATGAATTTCCTGACAAATTGCGTGTCCCTGATTATCATGTTTTATCGGTCCATTTATCTCTTCTCATCGAACATTTATAAGCATCTCCTGGCGTTTTTTGTTTGCAATTTTGTTTCTGAAATCTTCTCGTTTAGCACGACTGCTGCAAGCTTGTACCGGACACCTTCTTCTTCTCGATTTCCACAGTCTGTTTTTGAAGCTAACTAGTTTTGTATGAACTTGTTCCAATGAGTCGCTTTTCTTCTTCATTCTAAATTTATATCATTCGGAGAATATGTAAGCTAAAATTATACCGTTTAAAGAATATGCTTTTTTTACGTGAAAATAAGTTTTCCAACATTTAACATAGGTCTTTGTTCGTAATGCTTCGTAGATCTGCCTTTTTTCTTCAATGCCGAAACTGTTTTTTGTGTTGCTTTTCTTGAACATACCCGCATCCAGTTTCAAGCGTTAATAATCGATTATATTACGATTTTAGTACCAGTCTTACTAAAATTGAGAAACAATCAATTTTAGTCAACTAATAATCGATTATAATTTCTCTATTTAAGATCAAGTTATTATTAATTATAATCCATTATAATCTATTATAATCAATTATTTAGTCATCCATTTTTCGATGCAATTATAATCAATTATGATGCGATTATAATTCATTATTTTTATTCAAATATCTAATTCATTAGTTTTGCACAAAAATCCATTATAATCGATTAGAATTGATTATAATCCCTTTTGTCTGTCCATTTTGTCGTCAAAGTTGCATCTAAATTCCTCATATTTTATGCTTTTTGTAGACGTTGGTTCCTATGAAAAATGAGAAAAATGTTTTTAAAGTTTTCAAATCAATTCGAATTTATAAGTTTTTTCTTTTCTTCCCCGTTAGAGTTGTTTTGTGATGCATATTTTAAACTTTTTAACCACCAAAACATCAGCAAATTGATTTAGTTTCTTGATTGATTCGGATGATTTATTTTTCTTCTACCGCGGGAATCTTTCCACTAATATGCTAGGATCTCTATGAAACTTTTGTTTCGAGGTAAAACTTTGTGTTCAGATGAACCAAAGTGTTCAAGATATCTCTCTTTTAGAGATTTTCTTATTGACACAAAAATAATGACCCATGAGATATAATTCGAATATAGTTTTGAATTGACAAAATTTTGGCAAAATAAGAGGTTATAATTGATTATAATCAATTATAATTGATTCTAAGGGTTTTTTGTAAGAACTATAAGCAATTTTAATCAATTATAAGAGATTATAATCTCTCGGAAAATCTCACGATTATAATCAATTATAAATCTTTTAAAAACCATTTTTTGGTAATTATAATCAATTATAATTGTCAAAAAATTTGTCATAATAATCCGTTATAATCGATTATTTACGCCTAAACTTGGATGCGGGTAAGTTCCATAAGAGTTGGCCGGCTGATACGCCCTTGATTTCTTTCTCGATTTTCCGTTCTCAAAATTTATCCTTTCTCCTTAATTGTATAACGCAACCTGTCTTGTGAGGATTTGTTTCAGATAATTTTTTCTTCCACGAGTGAAGCTGTTGGTATATGTGGTGTTGCTGGGCAGTGTTGAAGGAGTTTTTGCGTTTCAACTATTGGCATTTGTAGTTCAACCGTCGATTTGACCCTTCTATTGGAGGTTCAGTTTTGTGCTTGTGTCAGAAAGGAAGGATGTTCAGAGTAGTTTTCTGATCGTGAGCTGACTACGCCAAACCGCACCAGGGAAATCTTGCCCTACGAGTATTTTGTATATCGACTTGTCGTCCATTCGAAGCTAGTTTCCGTAGAACTTGATTAGGAATAAGAAAAGGCGAATAAGTTCTTTCGCAAGTAATTATTGGTTCGAATCTTAGACAAGAGTTTTTTTCTTTAGATTAAGCTCATAAGCCTTCGCGGGTGCCGTGAACGTCCTTCGAGTACTTTGGCCTTCAAGGCCGAACATAAAAATAAAATCAAAAACTTAGGATGTACCATGCAAATAGATGTAAATTATATAAATCAGTATTTTAAAGTATGCGGACGGAAAACAGAGGTAAAGAGAAGTTTTCAACAACGTAGCCAAGAAATTTTAGAGCCGGACAAAAACATACAGCCAGCGGCGAAGTGAAGGAAGTCTTAGAGTCTAGTTTTTTAGACACCCCAAAATACTTGGAAAAACTGCTGCAGTCAGTCGCCAGCATAAAAATGCAACAAACAATGTTACATAAGAAACATCGCCAAGATGGTTTATATAGTACTTTAACTTTAAGGATAACCCGAATAGGCAGTAATTTTTTAGAAGTTCATGAGAAAAAAGTAAAAAAATTCGTCCGTTAAAATCAAAAATTAAAATGTTCCATAGGTTCTTAACTATGCCAGAAAAAAAATTGACAATTTTTATCTTAATTACTGCTCGAGTTTGTTTATTGTTTAGGAAAAGAGTTGAATTACATTCGAGCTTTCTTCTTGAATAGATGCCGATTGAATATCATCACTAAAATCGGTTTTGGAACTGGCAGATTGATACGGGATAGTCATCCATATGTTAGAACTAGTCATCTTCCAGGGTTCAATTACATTTTCGGTAATTTTGATCACCTCAACGGTGACATTCAGATTCCGTATGAAAATCCCGAGGACTTTTTAACTTTCAAGTGGTTCAAAAATACGGTGATGTGTCGAGATCAACCATGGATTTGCGATCCAGATGCCATAGATACTGGCAATACTTGAGTCGTCAATGATCAAATTACTAAAAGAATCTCCTACAGTTTCAACTCCAAGAATGAAGAAAAAATATTCGCAATGCTGATTTACGCTAAAATTGTGGAACAATTTTCTCACAATCAACTTCTTTTTTTTCAACGTCATAATTTATGCAACCTTAGATTTTTATATCTAATAATTTGTTTTTATTAAAGCTTGAGAAGCGATTGAGAAACTCTGCTTGTCTTTTGTTTTTTTAAACTGTGTGAGAAAATTTTCAAAGACATTTTCAGTTCGCTAGAACACTTCTAAAAGTTGCAGCAAATCATTTCAGGTTTGATGCCCTGCGCGTTATAGAATGAAGTTTCAAAGTTCGAAGTGCTTGAAATTTTTGAACTATGTTTTTGAGCTGAAAATTCGATTTTTTGATGTTAAATTGACCAACTAAAAATTTTTAAAAAAGTTTCGGATCAATTGAGCAATCTCCCCCCCATCCTCGCGTGGGGGGGGGGGGGGGGGGGAGATAGCTCAATAGGTACTTGAGACATGTTTATAACCACTTGAAAATAGTTGAATGACATGAAATCATAAAACATATTTTCCAACGACTGTGGAAAGCCAAAATTTACAATATCAAAGTTCAAAAGTTTCATTTAGATTGAAAAAAGAATCAACAGGCATAAAAAGCGACTTTTTTCCTTTCTTAACATGACAAAAAGTTTTTGCGAACAATATTAAGGTGCTGCGGAGAACCGTTTTTCCTATTCAGATACAAGGCTAGAGCACCAACCCTGGTAAATCGCTTTCTTCGATGAGGCTATGGTCGCCTAAGCAAAGTTTTGCAAAAAAAATTTCATAATTTCGATTTTTTTTTTCAAAATTTTCTCGATACTCATATAAAAAAAACTTCAGTCGGTCAAATGATTGCGTGCTATAAAAAAAACATCCATCTACTTCCGTTTGCTGACGTCTTTTTGAAGAGTTTATTTGTTTTTGCTGGGGGGAGATAGCTCAATTGGTCATTACGGGGGGGGGGGGGAGAGATTGCTCAATTGATCCAAAGTTTCTGCTTTACAGATTCTTATAACTTTGATACTTCTTGAACGTTGATGGGCTGTGTATTCAGACTCAGACATAAATTTCTCAACAATGGTAGTTTCAGCGTAGTTTGTGTTTATTGTTTATTGAAAAAAACCAAATGACCCATCTTTGGGACAACTTTTTGATTGACATTTTTTGGGGGAAAACGCACCATTTTAACTTTGCTCAAAATCTAAGCCAATTTCTTTTGTTCTCATCACTTTTTTCTTATCTTAACCCAATTTGAGAAAAACGCGTTTCAAATTCAAACGTTGTTTGTTTTTCCCGGTTAAATTAAATCAGCACTTTTATTATTGCTTCGAGTTTAACTCGGGAATCCGTTCAGCAAATTTTTTAACCAGAAGCTGGTTCTGATTTTGCGATTTATCAAATCCACAAATCAAGAAATCAAACATTATTAAATTGCAGTTTTGTTACGACAGAAAGTATTGGCTTGAAAGATTTCCGAGCAGCAACCATAAAACTTTTAAATAGTTCTCCCTACATTATATCAAATACCTGACTTTGGGACCAGGAGAATAAAAGTTTTACAGAATTTGTTATGAAACTATTGTGAACTTCAATGAAATTTATTTATTCGTAAAAAAATCCCAGCGTTAGAAAATTTCGTTTCGTGAGGCGGCAATTGGTAACAAGTTGGATTAAGTAACAAGCGCTAGTTCGTAACAGTAGATTAAGAGGAAAACACTGATTCACGCGCCGCACGCATTTCTCACTTGCTGGATGTAAGTGCATCCGAGCGAAGCGGAGCAAGCTTATTCTACTAACTAATGTCTCGCTACGATTTTTCGAAGGTTACTAGCTTTTGGCTGACCATTTTTTTTCACAATTTTCAATAAGTTTGGTGGAAATCCTACAAAAATATCGAATGAAGTGATAATAAAATCAATATGCTCTAAAACTTCATTATGTAACTTGCAATCCATCAAATCTGAAGAAATGATTTCTTGCAACTTTTAAAACTTTTAGGAGACAAACTTGTTTTTGAGGCTCAGCTTATCGTAAGAACAATAGTTTTTTATGATATTACGGACTTTTGACGAGTGTGATCAGTTCTGATTTAAAAAAAAAAAATAAGCAATGAGGCCAAGAAACAATTGGTGACTGAAGAACTGGAAAGGATTGTTTCAAATTGAGTGTGGATTCGGAAAAACTCATCGCTGATATAGGGTTATGGTTTCAGGTCTGATTTATTGATATTTAAGGCTTCGATCATGGGTGCCTAACACTGTTTTTTTCTCAAATATTGATAACTGTTACTGAGAGATCAACTCGGTCAAGTTAAACAGTTTTCGTTTTTTTCTAAGGTATTTTATGTAATTTCTAAATACTGTTTTTTTTAAATAGAACAGCTGTTTCGTAATTAGTCTATTATTTTTGTGTCGCATATCTTTTCAGGTTTTAAATGCAGTTTTGTTTGGTTATCACCAACTCTGAGTTCTGAAATACTTCGGAAGAGTAATGAACGTGGTGAAGACTTTTTATAGCTCCTGTTGATCTTTTTTTTTCAAACGCAAAATTTTTTGAAAACGCAGCTCAAAAGCCTGACTAAATTGGCCATTTTAAAATTGTCGAACTTGATTAAAAATAGTTCCAAACTGAATTGAGACAAGCTAACTGATGGTAATAACTCCCCGTGCCATTCGAATTTGAACACCAGTAGTTCGATTTTAGCTTTTTAGGGAATAAAACTGATGGCTTCTGGGGAAGCTATTTTAACCAGTTTTTTGTTAACGCGAAGTGTGTGTGGTAAATAAATTCGTTCCAAATTGAATTGATATAACTTAATTTTTCAGAGTAACGTGTGAACGAGATGAAATTAGGAACAAACGTTTTTGAGTTATAATTTCGCGCAGAGGATTCAGCAACAAAATCAAACAAGACTGCTCGTATCAGGGCGAAGCCCTGAATATTCTGACTGCCTTTTAAGGTTTATGAAGCAGTAATAACATTAAAAAGTTAAAGGTAATAAAACAAAATGAATTTTTTTTCTGAAAACCATCCCCCCACACGCCATATAAAGTACAAAAGGATAGATTCCGCTCCTTGTAACAAATCAATTATGGCAAGTAAACTACGTTCAACAACTTTGGAACGATTTTTAAGAAGGATTAAATCTCCGCTTTCGCGTTAATTGAGGGAAGTACAGTGCTGACTAAAATTATCCGGACAAAACGAACAAAACTTGAGTTTTCAAACGCGTTTTTATCAATTTGAGTTAAGATTAGACAAAAAGTGAAGGAGCAAAAGTTGGTTTGAATTTTATCAAAATTATAATGGTGCTATTTTTTCTCCAAAATTCTCCAAAAATTTACCCCAAAAATGGGTCATTTTGGCTTTTTTCAATTAATCAAGAATTACACTGAAACTACTTTGTTAATTGATGCAAAAACTATATCACAAGAGTCCCAACAAAGTTTAAGAAGGGTTAAATCTGCAAAAAACCAGTATTAGAGAAAATTTTTTTTACTTGATTGTCAATAAATGTGATTTTTTTATATAAAACCCAGAGTCTCTGTTTAAAAACAAATTTTAAACAATTTGCGTAATTTTTTGGAGATACAACCCATCTTAAACTTTGTTGGGCTATGTAGGAGGCTTCTTGTGATATAATTTTCTCATCAATTAACAAAACAGTTTCAGTGTAATTCTTGATTAATTGGAAAAAGTTAAAATGACCCATTTTTGGGGTAAAATGTTGGTTGAGAATTTCGAAGAAAAAATTGAACCATATTAAATTTGATGAAATTCTCAGCAATTTTGTTTTCTTCATTTTTGTCTAATCTTAACCCAATAGGAGAAAAACGCGTTTGAAAATTCAAGTTTGTTTGTTTTGTCCGGATAATTTAAATCAGCACTGTATATCGCGTGTTAATTGTCCCAAATTGGTCAAACACCCATAAATTTAGGAAAAATGGTCACACACAGGTTTCAAATTTAGGCTCAGGACAACAATACCTTTTGAGCGACTAGTTAAAAAGTCGAAATTTGTCCGAAGAAAAAAACCCACCTCGAGCACAAATATTTCGTCGGAACAACAAGACTGCTCGTATCAAGACAAAGTCCTGAATGTTCCGACTGCTTTTTAACGTTTGTAGAGCAGTAATAACATAAACAACATAACAAAGTTAAATGAAAAAAAATGTCCTATAACTTGAAACTTTTTCTATGAAAATCATCTCCCCACTGGCCATTTAAAATACAAAGTGATAGATTTCGCTCCTAGTAACAAACCAATTATGGCAAATAAGCTTTTTTCATTCAATTTGGAACGTTTTCTAACATGGATTAAATCTCAAGCAAATATATTTTTGATCAAAATGTAATGAAGATTGCAATTTTACTATTTTAAACACAGCTTTTCATGGTTACTTTTCCTTAAAATTTTTTCCAAAAATGAATAACAAACAAAAAACAGGAAAAAAAATTTCAAAACAATTTTTTTTCTACTTTTTCTGATCTTTAATTTTAAAAATGTTATAGAAAATTTTTTGAAGCGTTGCTAATTTTTGAAGCACTGACAACTAATTTTTACGTAATTAAATTAATTCTAGTTTTCTTAGCCTATATGACCAGTTCTCTGAAAACAAATATTGCTCGATTACTTTACTCGCTCGGAGTTTGACCAACACTCAAAATTATCATACCGGTTTTTCTCAACACCAGGACATTTTGAAAGATGTAAATATTATTGGAATCACAGCTGAAAAGGTTTTGATATGAATTATCTATCGTTCCGATAACGATTTGTCGTACATTATTTTGAGAGAAAAGCAAAAAGAAAATCAAAGCAAGGCAAAGCCCTGATTGTTTCGACTGCTTTTTAAGATTTATGCAACAGTAACAACCTAAAAAAAATTAACAAAATAAAATGAAAATCATCCCCCCACACGAGAAAGACCAGAAAGATTTGATCTTTTCTATGCTTTTCTCAAATATTTTGAAATAAGAATTATAAATCAAATCATAACAAGGCATAACTTCGAAATGCTTATAACAGGGTAAAACATCGATATTTGTTAGATGTTTTTTGAGATATCTGCATTTTTATTTAAATTCCACAGA